CTGTGAGTCTGTTTTTGTTTTGTTTGTTCATTTATTTTATTCTTTAGATTGCTTATATGAGTGAAATCATATGGCATTCAGTATTTGTCTTTCTCTGACTTATTTAACTTATCATAATACCCCCTAGGTTTATCCATGATATTGCAAATCTTACCAGATTTCATTCTTTTTACAACTGAGTAATATTTCATTGTGTAACTGTGCCATAGCTTTTTTATCACTTGTCTTCTGATGGGCACTTGGGCTGCTTCCACATCTTGGCTATTGTAAATGATGCTGCAGTGAACACAGGGGTGCATATGCTCTTTTAAATTAGTGTTTTGGGTTTCTTCAAAAATATACCCAAAAGTGGAATTTCAGGGTCCTAAGGCTGTTCCATTTTTATTTTTTTGAGGTAACATCGTATTGCTTTCCACAGTGGCTGCACCATCTGCATTTCCACCAGCAGTGCATGAGGCATCCCTTTTCTCCACAGCCTCGCCAGCACTTGTTTGCTGATTTATTGATGACAGCCATTCTGACAGGTGTTGGATCATACTTATCTCATTGTGGTTTTAATTTGCCTTTCTCTGATGAATAGTGACATTGAGAATCTTTTTATATATCTACTGGCCATCTGTATGTCCTCTTCGGATAAGTATCTATTCGGGAGATCCTCTGCTCATTTTTTTAATTGGATTGTTTGTTTGTTGGTGTTAAGTTGCAGGCATTCGTTATAAATTTTGGGTATTAACTTCTTATCAGATTCATCACTGGCAAATATCCTCTCCCATTCAGTAATGTTTTTCCATTTTGTTGATGGCTTCTTTTGCTGTGCAAAATCTTTTTAGTTAATGTAGTCCCATTTGTTTACTTTTTCTTTTGTTTCTGTAGCCCAAAGAGATACATTAGAAAAAAATATTACTGAGAGCAATGTCAGAGAGTTTACTGTCTATGTTTTCTTCTTAGAGTTTTATGGTTTCAGGTCTAACATTTAAGTCTTTAATTCATTCTGAGTTTATTCTTGTGTATACCATAAGAAGATGGTCTGGTTTCATGTTTTTTGCATGTTTCTGTCCAGTTTTCCCAAAATCATTTATTGAAGACACTATCTTTACCTCCATTGTATGTTCTTGCCTCCTTTGTCATATGTTAATTGACCATATAGGTGTGGGTTTATTTTGGGGCTCTCTTTTTAGTTTTATTGATCTATGTGTCTTTTTTATGCTAGTATCATGCTGCTTTGATTACTATGGCCTTGTTGTATAGTTTGATATCAGGTAGCATGTTACCTCCAACTTTATTCTTCTTTTTCAAGATTGCTAAGGCTATCTGTGGTCTTTGTGGTTATATATAAATATTTGGAATATTTGTTCTAGTTCTGTGAAATATGCATTGATATTTTGATAGGAATTGCTTTGAATCTATATATTGTTTTGGGTAGTATGGATATTTTCATTATGTTAATGCTTCCAATTCATAAGCTTCCATTTATTTGTATTTTCTTTCATTTATCTCTTCAATCTTATAATTTTCTCAATATAGGTCTTTTATCTCCTTGGATAAAATTCCTAGGTGTGTCTTTTATGCAGTTGTAAATGGGAGACAGTATATTTCTTTATGGAAGGAAAGAATGTACAACATCTGCCACACGGTGTTAGTTACTGCCTAGGCTCATAGGTGTCTGTGTTTTCAGTCCTTGCCTCTAGTATTCTTTATCCTTGTCCACTGTACCTACACATTTACTGATTTAGATTTACTCTGGACTCCTTCCTGGCGCTGTCCTGGGCAGTGGGGACACAGTGCTGAGGGAGCACAATGCAGATGAGTTTCTGCCCCTGTGTCACTCAAATGCACAATCTATTCTGTGATGGTTTTGTGTCATATATTTGTCCTTTAGCCAGACTAGCTCCTCCAGTGGTTACAGCCCAGAACCGGAGGCCAGACAGCCCGGCCCCAATTCCAGCTGGAGGCCTCGGGGAATTGCCAAACTTCTCCGTGACTCGGTTTTCTCACATGTCAAATGGGACTTGTCACTGCCCTTTCTGCCCAGTGCTATTGTTAAGGATAAAGAGAGTTTAGATGTAGCTTTTCTCCTAATAAGCCCTAATTAATGTGAACCCCTCACCCAGCTCTGTACCTTAACCAGGACCAAGTTCGTGGGGTGTAGCCTGTGAAGTGACCCAGGGCTCCACATTTAGGAGGGTTTGATTCTTGGCTTAATGTCCTTCTATTGAAATTCTTAATTTTTTAATATTTTATTTCTGCATCAAACTCTGCAATTATGTATTTAGTCCTGATAAACACATTAAATACCCAGTAAGAGTCTTTTGAAAGAATGAATTAGTGGATGAATGTAGCCAACCACAGTGGTCAGCTCAAGCATCCATTGTCCTAAAGAGCCAGTCAGGTGGCAAAGTTAGCCTTTGATGTTGACTCATCCCTCCCCTTCCCTGGGACCTAAGCCTTACCTCGGACCTTAAAGTTCTCATCCATCCATTTCCTGGGGGACCAGGGTCTCAACAGGCTGCCAGACAGAAGATGCAGGGCTAGTCCCCATTCTCCAAACTGCAGTCTGCAAGCACCCGCAGCCCCTCGCCCTCTCTCCTTGCTCAGCATCCTGGGACAAGGATCTCTGGTCATCCCCATTCTGCAGGTGGGGAAACGGAGGCTCAGGAACAATACAGTTCTTTAAGAGTCCTCATGCAGCCCAGTAACTCTGCCTGGCCAAATTTCTAGTTTTATAAAGAGGCTAATGATAGCTGCAGAATCCACACACATCATTTTTAGAATGGCTAATCATATAAGACAATCATGTGCTGAATCTGACGTTGGGTCCCACCCCAAACCTAATGGCATGCCACGTGGCCTGCTGAAACAAGCAAAGATAAACCTGTATTCTCACCCGGCATGTCAGTGGACGCTGGGGCCCTTCATTTGTCAAAGGTTATGGAGAGTCTGCAACACGCAGGCTCTGTGTGGAAGTCAGTGATGCTGCCATAAGCAAAATACACAGCAGGGTCTGCTCCTCAAGGGGGGAAACAGGTAAGAAACTAAATAAATAGTATATGGTATGCAAGATGGCTAAGCCCTGTCAAGAAAAAGTAAGCAGGGGAGAGGCAGAGGAAATGAGCACTTTGAAGTGGAAATTTCAATTAAATAGGATTGTTAGGGCACATCTGAATGAGAAGGAGACAATACGTAAGACCCCAAGAAGGTTAGGAAGCAGGTTACCGGGCTCTTTGGAGAAAGAGCATTCCAGGCAGAGGACCAGCCAGTGCTAACCCTCAAGGTGCCACCCGTGGTTTGCAACAATGTGGGGAGATCTCTGAACACACAGGGGAGCTTTGTCAAATCCCATACCCTCCCTTCCCCAGCCCATTTCCATCTCCATCTGGTTGCCTGTAGATAAATCCAAGCTATAGGTTTTTGAACAATTATTTATTGAACCGCTATCAATGACACCACTTTATTTATCATCCATCACAGTACAGTTTTTGTTTGGGATTAGTCACATTTAAACAACAGAGTTCAGAACAAAATTTCAATATCTAACTTGGCTTGAGATATCACTGGGGCCACAGGACTCTCAGAAGTAATCTGTCCCTTTGGGGACCCTGCCTCCCTGTGCATCACAGACCCAGCGGGCCCAGTGGATCCCTCCCTGAGCAGACTGCCCCATCCTGGGTGCCTTGGAGTCTGCCTGGGGGGCCCTTAGCAATACTGGACACATGCCCCTCGCTCAGCATGAGGTGCAGGGGCCCCCTCCAACTTGGGAAACCTGGAAGAAGCTGGGATAGCCCAGCTAGTTCCTTCTCCCTAAACTGGGTGTTATAGGGGTGGGGTGCCGGGGAGCAGAGAGGGGTCTCAGGCTTCTCTGAGCCATCACAGCTCAGTGTCAGCAGCTGCCACACGCCCTGGCAAACATCTCTCCTTCCTCTGTCTCACACACAGTCTTAAACCCGGTACAGACGTCTCTTCTGAATTCTGTTGTGGCCCCCATAAGAGCGGTTTGGGGAACTCTCCATCTGCCTGCCCTGAGATAACCCTGATCCCACCTGCTTTACCCCTCTTAACCAGCACCCAGGCTTCAAACACTGGACCGCCGCCCAGATGACTCTGATGTGCGTTTCTGTGTATGGTGGGAGGTGTGGTGGTGGTGAGGATGCCCTGTGTTTTCACGTGTCTGAGTGTGGAATGAGGGCATCCGCGCACCCATACGAGTGTGTGCGTGTGCCCTCGTGGCTGGGTACCTTGTGTCTGTGTGAGTGTGGGTGTGTCTGAGTGGCTGCGATATCCTCACTCCTGACAGAAGGACTTCCGGTGGCAGGCTCCTCGTAGCCAGCCTGCATGCCCCGAGGCACTCCAGCTCAGGAACAGGTGCCCTCTGGCCTCCCCCAGAGTCCGCGCACACTCGGACACGTGCACCTTCCTGTCCATCTCCGCTCCTGCGGTCCAGGGTCCAGCGGAGCGACCGCCGCCTGCTTTTGCAGCCTCCCCTTCCCCACAAGGCCGTGGGTGAGGAGCCCTCCATGGAGATGGACTGGAAGAGAGGCGGTTGGGAGGAGGAGAAGGCAAACTGGGGACACGCTGGAGGAGTACGGCGCTGGGAGAGGAGGGCGCCCACCACGCCCCTTCCGCAGGGGGTGGAGATGGGGCAGCCGGTTCCCGGTTCCCACCCGTCTTCCTCGGGGTTCCGAGTCGAACTCCTTCTTCTCTCCTGACAGGAGCCTAGAGAGGCGGCTGGGACCCCCTCCTGCGGTGCATCGCCCCCGCCCCCGCCCCCCGTCCAGGCAGTTGCTGATTGGCTGTGGAGAGCGGCGTCCCGTCTCCCTCAACCCGCTCCGCCCTCGGCCTCGAGGCGGGAGCGGAGCGGTGCTCGGTGGGAGGCGCAGCACCGGCTCCGGGAGCCCCTCCTGAGCCCTGCGCCCGGCGGGAGGGCTGGGCCGGGACTCCAGGCGGCAGGTGCGGACGGAGCCGAGGGACCGCGGCCAAGGGTAGGAGCGAGTCCAGCTGCTGCCTCGGTGGCTGCCGCCAGCGATCCAGCGTGCAGAGCGCACCCGCCGGCCCGGCGCAGACACGGCAGCGAGGGGTGCGCTCATGGAGCACACGCTCATGGAGCACACGCACGTCCGCTTCGCAGCCAACAGCTCGCTGTCCTGGTCCCCCAGCGCGGCCTGCGGCTTGGGCTTCGTGCCCGTGGTCTACTACAGCCTCCTGCTGTGCCTCGGTTTACCAGGTGAGGGGGTCCGGGGACAGGGAGGGAAGCCGGGAGCCCTCAGTGTGGGGCGCCGCTGCCCAGGACCCCAGGCTATTCACCTTCGCCTCGCCATCTGCGGTCTTTGGGGTCCCTTCTGAAAAAGTTTCAGCCTAAAGGGCAACTGCGGACATTTGCAGACTGGGGAACAAGGAAGTTGCTGTGACCTGGCTGGACTCACGAGTGTGTGTGTGTGTGTGTTTCGCTCGTGTGCGCTGCAGGCACGGGCAGCGTGTGACTGTGGGCTGGAGGGGTTGTAGTCTGTGAGGTCCAGTGAGGGCTGTGTGACTGGACTGTACATCCGGATAGATGGCTAGTGGAGGTGTCACTTCTGCCGTGGTTCTCACGTTCACCCCAGCCCGGGACACCTCTGCCCCGCTGAATGTCCCTGTCCAACCCCGGACCAAGCCTGAGACCCTGGTGCTGGGCAGTCTCTTGCTGGGAAAGGGGAGGCATTGGGATGGAGGAAGGAGGGAGCCCCTGCTGCCCCTAAGCAGGACTCGTCTCCAGGCCAGAGTCGGGGCTGGCTCTGGGACCATGCTCTGGCCAGGGCAAGGTACAGAGGCTCATGGGCCCGCTGCCAAGGCCGCCACCTCAGAGGGTCACAGTCTCCTTGAGGACAAGCCTCGCCCCCTGGCTTTGCCATCTGGTCCACCAACCCTGGGCAGCTCTCTGCTGCTGCTGAGGTCCCACGTCTTAGCATCCTCTCCAAAGTGTGGCTGAGATTTCTGCTGAATTCCTTAAAAGAGCTGAGCTGGGGAGGGTCAAGGGGGGTGCTTGCCTGTGAGGGGGGGGGGTTCATGGGGCTCTGGTTTGAGATGGTCCCATCTTCCAGAGAGTGCTTGACAGTCTGTGTGGCAGATTCCCAATGAGCGCTTGCAGGCAGCCGGGAGAGAGGAACAGAAGGGAGCAGGAAAAAAAATCCCATGTACGTTCCGGCATCGCAGCATCATCATCCCTGCACCTTCAGCATCCTGAGATCCAGGGGACCTGAGAGCTGTATTCCTGAGAGCTTCTCTGTGATTTCCATTCCAAAACATCCACCTCCGTAGCCAGGTCCCAATGAGATAGTTGAAATAACCCCCCTGCCAAATCAGGCAGGTTCCAGAAACCACACATTTACTAATGCTGCCCCCCTCCCCCCTCCTGCCCCCCCCCTCCCCCCGCCAGTGATGAGGCTTTTGTTACTAACTGATCAACTGATCATGCTGGCTGCCCTGGGAAAGAGGCTCAGCCCCTGATTTGCCCTGCTGGGCCGTCTGCGTGTCCTGTCCTACAATTACCTTGAGCTGGAATTGATTTCCGCCCAGTGTGCACCCCTGGTCTGCCCTCCTGAGCCTCTCCAGAGCTCTCTTTTGGGGAGTGAGTTTTTCAGAAGGTTGCTGAACTGGAGAAATGACAGTTCCCTCCCCCTGCAGCCCTCACTGCCCATCCCTTCACCCTCCATCTCCTCTGCTGACGGAAGTAGCCACAGTAGCCACCCTCTCAGGCTTCTCTTCTGAAAAGCCATTAAGGGACAGAGACATAAGGACAGGGAGAGGCTGACCCAAAGCAGGGACATGAGGATAGGGAGAACGAGATAAAGCTCAGACCTTCAGACACCTCAAGGTGGAAGTCAAGGCGCTTCATACCTTTACTGCCTAAGTCCCATGCGAGCGAGGGCCTGCCTGACTCACAGCATTGGCCCCTGCTTACACCAGGCATGGTACTAGGCATGGACAAGGCTGAGCCAGGGCTCCGAGACTTTAGAAGTGGAGGAAGGGAGGGCGGCCTTGGATTGAGATTAGCAACTGAAGGGCATTGATGTGTTTATACACTCAACTAAGCGTTATGACCACCTACTGTGTGCCAAAGGGACTCAGAGACCCCTGGGCAGTTCCTGAGTTCAAGGAGCTCACAAGTGTAAGCTTATGGTTCTAGAGGCAGCGACGGGTGTGAGACCGAGCATTTTGGAGAAGAATCATCGGAGAGGCTGCTGGCACGAAGGTCACAGGCTGATGAAGGCTGGTTTTGTTCATTGTTTGCAAGGTGGTTCAAAGGTGAAATCCTTAAGTTATTCTCTTAAAACCACAAGGGCAGGCAAGTCTGCCCTGGTGATCAAGAATGCAGATTGTACAACGAAGCGGACCTGGGTGTTCATTGTGGGCCTTTTGTATCTCTGTGCCTCCATCTCCACATCTGAGAAACAGGCATTATGAGAGCATAACTCCTGGAACTGTGCTGAGAAGTCGTTGTGTTGGCTGAGGTGTTGGTAGAGTAAGGCATGGGGCTCAGTGCCTGCCACCCACACATTGGTTGGTGCTGTTGCAGTTCTGGTGATCAGGAAGCTGGTTTGGTTGTACAAAGAGGGAGACCCGAGGAGAAAAGGCCCCAGCTCAGCACCTGCTCCTCCTCCTGAGCTCACTCCAGCTCTCCCGCCCTTCCCAGCCCAGCCACCAGCAATTAGCAAACTCCCATTACCAGCCAGCACTGGGAAGCACAGCCAGGCTGGGTGTGAAGTAGCAGACCACAGGGCTTGGTAATATTGTTGCAAATTGAGATTTTAATTGAATCACTTTTCCTGGCAGTTCTAAATTCTCCCGGGGAGGTCAGAGATGTGGATGTGGACTGATGGACGGATGGGGAGTGGCTGAGTGGCAAGGGGGAGCCAGTCACTAGGAGCAAGGCCAACTTTTCTTACCACCTTCAATCTCTTGATTCAGAGGAAGAGTTTAAGATGGTCCTATGGTCCAACCACCTGCCCCGGACAGATTCATTTAACTGGTCGGCTGTGGGCTGTTGAAGGGTGCACAGAGCTTGGCCACTGAGGAATTCCCAGCTACTCTGTGCCACAATTTCCTCCCCTGTAAAGTCAAAGGACAGGGAGTTTATATGAAATAAGATTGTCTGTGTAACCTGTTGCATAGCCATACCTTCATAACTCCTGGAAGTTCTTTGAGCTAACCTGTCTTTAAGGCTGCGGGCTCAGTGGTGAAAACTGCTGGCTCAGCTGTTCCGTAAACTCCATCCCTCTCTCCCTCCTTTTTACGTAAGCAAGATGTCTCTAACTGTTTGAAACACACAGGAAGCCAGCAGACCAACAAGGTGGGGACCCTCGTTGGGCCAGCTGGGATACAGTGCAGGAGGAAAAAAGAGCCTAATGCCTGTGGACAGAGTGTGGGAGGGAGGACAGCTGAGCCACCAAAAAGGAAGGAGGAGCACAAAATGAAACCGATATAAAAGGTGGTTTTTATACTTTTTTGTTGTTGTTGTTAGTCCTCACCTGAGGGTATTTTTTCCATTGTTTTTTTTTAGAGAGAGTGGAAGGGAGTGAGGGGGGGGAAACATTGATGTGAGAGAGACACATCAACTGGTTGCTTCCTGCACTATGCTGGGGGATCAAACCTGCAACCCCGGTACGCGTCCACGACCGGGAATCAAACCCACGGCCCTTCAGTCCTCAGGCTGATGCTCTAACCACTGAGCCACACCGGCCAGGGCCAAAGGTAGTCTTTAAATTGTACCTTCTCAATGGTGCCACGGATGTTAGGGGAGACAAGGTGAAGAGGACGATAGCCTGAAACCATAGGCCGCCAAGCAGGTGGGAGCGTTTCTACACCTGCCAAGTAAGGGCAATGATGCCTGCCTTTGAGGGTGAGCTCAAGATGAAAGGAGGTGACTAGTCTGTAGCCTGACAGGTAGTTAGAGCTTTGACACATGGTAGTCACTGGTGTTGTCAACCAGAGGTGGAGAGATGGCTGACTGAGCCTTCCAGATGTGGTTTCTTCTGCCTGGTAACATCTTTAGAGAAAATGTAGTAAACAGGTTAAGAGTACAAAGTCTGGAGCTGGACCTCTGAGTCCTAAGTCATGTGACTTAGGAAACTGATTTTACACAGTACCTCAATTTGCTCATTCATAAAGCACAGATACATATAGTACACACTTCATAGGGTTGCTGGTAGGATTCGACGGCGTAAGCATTTAACACAATGTCTGGCACACAGTACGTACCCAATAACTTGTTTTTTATCATTTAAGTCCTAGCCAGGTAGCTCAGTTGATTGGAACACTGTCCTGTACACAAACAGAATGAGAGTTTGATTCCCAGCCAGGGCACATACCTAGGTTACAGGTTTGATCCCGTGTTGGGGTGCTAATGGGAGGCAGCCAATTAATGTTTTTCTCTGCCTTTGTTTTTCTCCAAAATCAATTAAAAAATATATCCTGCTCAGGTGGTGTGGCTCAGTGGTTGAGCGTTGACCCTGCACAAAGAGGTCGCCGGTTTGATTCCCTGTCAGGGCACATGTCCAGGTTGTGGGCCTAATCCCCAGTGGGGGACATGCAGGAGGCAGCCAGTTGATGTTCTCTCTCATAGATGTTTCTATCTCTCTCTCCCTCTCCCTTCTTCTCTCTCTCAAAATCAATAAAGAAAAAAAAAAAAAAATATATATATATATATATATATATCCTTGGGTGAGGATAAAAAAATATTTCCTAGGAATAATTGGCACCAGCTTACCCTAATATCAAATACAAAGATATTACAGAAAAACTACTGACCAATATTCCTCATAAGCATAGACATAAAAATCCTCAAAAATATATTAGCAAGTCTAATCCAGGAGTATTATATAAGAAGGCTAATACATCAAGACAACGTTGGTTTTATCCAAGGAATGCAAGGCTGGTTCAACACTGGAAAATCATTGAGTGTGATTCACCATTTTAACAAACTAAAATAGGAAATCCATATGATAATTCCAATAGATGCAGAAAAGGTTTTTGACAACATTTATCCATTTATGATAAAAACTTATCAAATTAGGAACAGAAATAGAATCTCTTTCTTAAAACTTATCTTATTGTTGAAAGTATTACAGATATCCCCCAATTTTTCTCCATTGACCCCCTACCCCTGCTCCTGACCTCCTCCTGCCTTCCCCACACTATTGTCTGTATCCATTGGTTATGCATATATGCAAATAAGTTCTTTGGTTTATA